TATATATATATATATATATATATATATATATATATATATATATATATATATATATATATATATATATATATATATATATGTATATATATGTGTATGTGTATATATATGCATATAGGTTAAAAGTCAAAAAATAAGACCCGAAGAAAGATATTTACCAGCTGTTCGTTATTTCGTAATTCATTTTAAATTTTATTTTACATTTTACAAGTTCATGTTACAACGCTATATCCAAATAATCAATCGATCCAGAAAAAAAATGAGAACATTTTCTCTGCAAAGAGTAGGACCCAAACAAAAAAGTTTTCGCACCAGGAAATAAATTAAAAAATTAAATCGGTGAGATGAAACATCGCCGGCACTACTCACTCATCTTTTTCTCCTCTCTTCATTAATTTCCTCCTAATTAGAAAATCTACATACTTTAGTATTTCAAATGTTAATGCATTTAAATATTTAAAAAACATAAAACTTAAAATAACAAAGAACCAAACACCAGCACACCCACACAACTGCTAACTTCTCTCAGAGCCATACATCAATCCAAATATGCATCGATAAATAATGCGTCCTCCACACGCAATTCTGTTGTACCAGATCTATTATGTTAAAATCAATTCTTCAATAATTCATTAGCACTATCCTGAAATTCATTTTGTGACACAAATTAATTAGTTAAAGCTCTGAAAAAACAATTCAAAAAAACGTTCACAGTATTTTTTGAATCTAAATTCAAATTAAATTGTTGTTATGAAATAAATCTCAGTAACCATGGCAACATGAGGTAATATTAATATAACCTTTAAGAAATCACTCGACATATATCCAATCAACTACTATGATAATTGAAGTAAGCTAAATTCTGGAATTCAGCTTATGTCATTTCTTTTTTTTGTTCAACTTTTTACTTTCTATATTTTTTTTCGTCATTTTTATTTAGCAAATGCTCTTTTCCTTTTGATCACAAATTAATTATGCAAAATTAATATCGCAAATTTTTAATGAGTAATTAATTAGCTAAGCAAGCCTATCATACAATACATCTCTCATGTTTCAGTTTTACAATCATATGTGCAGGAATTTTTCAGGAAATAATCCGTAGAACAAAAATTAGATATTACTAAGATGATTATGCAATAATTGTTGGAAGTTTTATTGTTGTTTTTGGATCAGGAAAACTTCAACATATTAAATAATTCATTTCATTGAATCGTTTAACTATCTGATTTCGTTTAACAAAAAAAATAAAAAAAAATAAAAAAAAATAAAATATACTCTAAAACTGAAATTAAACTATAAATAATAAATTTGTCGTAATAAATAATAATTGTAATAAATAATAAATAAAAACTATAAATAATAAATTTGTTATTATAAATAATAAATAACAATAAATTTGTTATTATAAATAATAAAACTGAAATTAAACTATAAATAATAAATTAAACTATAAATAATAAATTATAAATAATAAATTTGTCGATAAATTTGTCGAAGAATAATGATAGAAAATAGATTGAACAGTTTAACATAACATTTATCACCTTAAATTATCGCTATCATTACTATTTATCATTCAATAATTTATTCATGTATATGTTAACCATATACATGATAATAATTTCATGTAATTAAAACCGTAACCGTATTAGAGATGTGATAGTATTACTGAAATATAGCATAAATTAAATTGAAAGTTTAGATTTCCGGAAATTAAACATCCTGTTTATCGTTTGATTGATAATATCCGGCGAAGAGAAAATTCAAACATAATGTCGATATTTGTGGGAGAAGAAGTTGTTGATGGTATTGATGAAATGCATCATGAATTAATGGAATGGCATCCAAAGAGTGGATTACTTGCACTAACAACATATCATGCAAATGTTGGAAGTGAAATTAATTTTTTCACTCATCAAGTAAGTAAATAATAAAGTAATTAAGTAAATACCAAACAAGTAATTAAGTATATTATTTGCCTAATAATTCATGTTGTAAGAATTATTAGACAAACAATAAGACAAATATAGAAATGTGTAAAACAATTTGCAGCTAATAATCTATTATAGCAATAATTGAAAATAAAAAAAAAGAAAGGAAAATAAGAATTGATATTTGAATGGATAAATTTGAATACCATATTTTTATAGATCATGGATTATATGTATTCATATTTGTTTTATGGCTAATTAAATATTTAAAAATTATCGATCATTTTTATTTTTCATAAATCACATTCATATGGTTTAATTTAGCATTCAATTTATTAACTAATTTAAATGAATGAAAGAAATGAAAATAAAAAAAAAATTTGAAGTAATCAAAAAAGTATTACGCAGAAATTTTTTGGAGCAATTTTTTTTATTATTTTTTCAATTAATATTATACTTATTTATTTTTATTCATATGTTTCTTTGTAAATTTTTAATTGTTGATGATATGATAATAAGTAATAGTATTTAGGCTGATTGTTGCTATCAGTTCTTTCATTATCGTAGATTGATGAATGATGAACAGTGATAAGAAGTTTTTTTTTTTGTTTTTGTTTTAGCCTGCTACATTAGCAGGTTGAAACAAACAATTATCAATAAGAAAATAAATGAAAAAAAAGTAATATCAATAAATGTCAATAAAAAAATAATTATCAATAAATGTCATGATTATCAATAAGAAAATAAAAGTTTCATTCTCCTTTTCCTCTTAAAAAAAAAAAATAAAAATAAAAAATAAAGATAAAAATAAAAAGATTCAACAAATATTATTTAGTTAGAAAAATATTTTGAATAAAAAAAAGTAAATTGGTGGTAAAAAAAAAAAGAAAAATCGAATAAATTTCATCCTAAATATTAATTATTTATATTTAGCATTTTGAAAATTGTTTAAATTCAATCAACATATGCATTAGTCAATTAATTATTGATTAGCGGATGTATGTATATGCTAATTAATTATTAATTTATTAAAACATATGCTAATATTTAAATACAAATTTAATTGCTATATTGATATTAATGAATATATATATATATATTTTTTTTTATACAGGCTATTAAAAGTAACTATTTACCTATTCGTAAAGCCAATTCACGTATAATATATTTATGTTGGCATCCAGTAATTGATATTATTGCAACAAGTTGGGATTCTGGTGATGTTATATTCCGTTTTGTTCAAAATGATGAAGGTATGAAAATAATTTATTAATCATTATCATTGGTCATTATCATTATCAATAAAAATGTATATTGTAATAAAGTTTAAATTCAGAATTATACAAAATAATAAAGCATGAATTTATCGATGTGTTGCTTTTACAAAATAGTTAGTAATATGTACTATTATCCAATATCATTATTAACAAATGTGATTAATTATTATTAATTATTATGAACAATATTATCATGATTCTTATTATCAACAATATTATCATGATTCTTATTATCAACAATATTATCATGATTCTTATTATCAATAATATTATCATGATTCTTATTATCAACAATATTATCATGATTCTTATTATCAACAATATTATCATGATTCTTATTAT